TTCTACAATCATGCCTTGTCCAAAACATTAGACGAATCAATATTCAATACATTATTTTCTAGGTTATCTACAACCATCACAGTTCCATATATACCATTACAAGGCAACGCTTTAAAATAATATACATCATTAAAGAAAGCATTTATAGAACCAATTTCATTATCAAATGAAAATATAAAACCTTCTTTAGACAAACAATGAAAAGGAATAATATTTCTCGCCATATCCGACGAGTAACAATAGTTATTCAACTCTAAATTTAACCCACTACTAAGCAATAAAGAATAAAATCCAATCTTGGTGACGGTCGACACATTCCTATTTCCCATGATTAAGTTTATCTTCCTGTGCTCCACATCCCTACTTCCTTTTAGTCCCTGCAAATCAGAACAAATGTGAAATCCACAACCTGTATCAAGGACTCAAGAATTAGCATGTGATGAGTTATTAGAAAGAATAGTGTAAATACTTGTGAAGGTAGGTTTTATCTTCCCATCCTTAATGTCCTGCAAGTATTTCGGATAGCTTCGTTTCCAGTGCCCCTTTTCATGAAAATAGAAGCACTCTGCTTCCTTTAGATTGGTAGAAGGTTTAGTAGGACCACCATTGGTCCCGCTAGAAGAGGATCCATCATGGGACTTTCCCTTGTGGCTCTTGGAAGGAGCCTTCCTCTTATTTCCCTTCCCATATGCAATCGCTAGAACAGGGGGCAACAGCAGTAGTAGAAGTGGATACAACACACTTGCCTTTCAAGTTGCTTTCTGCAGTTCTTAGAAAGCCTTGAAGCTTGCTAAGAGTGACCTCCTCCTTCTTCATATGATAGGTCATATGAAACTGATCATAACAAGAAGGAAAAGAGTGTAGAATGATATATTTGTCCATTTCTTCATCAACAGTTGACATTCAATTTCAGCAAGTGGTCCACATATCTCTCCATCTTTTGCAAGTGGGTTGTGATGGACTCTCAATCCTTCATTTTGGTTGTGATCATGGAGGCAATGATCTCATACATCTCCTGCGGAGCACTTTGATGGTACCTTTCCATCAAATCTTGTTGCATCTCGAATGGCCAGAAGTCTTCATAGGACTTTTGAAGCTTAGCAGTCATGGTAGCAATCATAATGCACAACACCTTTGTCGCATTCTTTTCATTAACTCTGTATTCCTCGATTTGCTCGGGAGTAGCAATTTGTTCATCAATCTCCTTCAGCTCTTTATCGAGACCATATTCTTTGTCATTGTAGCGAAAGGCCATACGAATGTTTCAAATCTAATCTTTAACGTTTGACCCATCGAAGATAGTTCTCCCAACCAAGTTCATGAGGGAGAATGAGCTAGAAGGGTTGGAGCTTGAAGCATTGTTTGGGATAGACATCTAAAAAGGAAAAAGAACAAAGTTTATATTAGATGAGAATCCTTTATATAACACCAAAATGAAATATTAAGACTAGGACCCAACACAATATTCTACAATTCGAAAGAGGGATTCCGTTATCCAATTGTAAAATATTTGAAAGTAGGTAATGAAGATTTACCAAATTCCACCTCAAAATGGAACGCCCAAGTTTGCAAATCGAATGAATAATGTTGAAGACAAAGCATTTTTCATCGAATCAAGTGATAATAACCAAAATCCACCCCTAAGAATTGGAAAGTCCCTCCTTATAACTTATGAGAAAACTAGATAATGATATAGTTTTATAAACATTAAATAAAAATATGTTAAAATACAACTCTAAGAAATGCATGTTATTAACTATTGGAATGATACATAGGTTATATGATTCCAGAATTAAATAGTTTTAGAACTCACCCTTATTGTGCAGATCTCGTCTGAGCCTAAATATAATACGGAGGAATCATATGGTCGAAAAACTATCTAATTTTAGCATCATGTGATAGTACCGGATAATTAGATAACATTAGAATGGATGATAATAAAAGACAAAAGAATCTTTGTGGTAATACTAGGATCCTATGAAAATTGTGAAAACAATTATTAAGAAACCTTTTAGTTATTATAGACTAATAGTGTGAGTAAGTACTTGATTGAGGGATCACTCTCACTCTAAAGTATCAGTAAGTACTTGACTAGTAAGTACTTGACTGAGGGGTCACTCTCACTTTAAATTCTCAGTAAGTACTTGACTGAGGGGTCACTCTTACGCTAAAGTCTTAGTAAGTACTAGAATGAGGGATCACTCTCACTCTAAAGTCTCAGTAAGTACTTGGCTGAGGGATCTCTACCCCTCCAGACATCAGTAAGTAATTGACTGATGGGTTATTAATTAAGACTATCGTAAATGATAGGTTATTGTATCTAAAATAAAAGTAATAATCATGACTATCTTAAAAGAATGGTGATTTTATATAACATTATTACTAAAGACTATTTTAAATGATAGATGAGTGTATATAAACTGGCATTTTCGGCGCGTGATCGATGTGCGATACGAGTCGCGCGGTACGCACGCCTTTTAGAAGGGGTTAATGCAGACCTACGAAAATCAGACACATAGCAACACCCGTTTCAAACCTACATACTTTCCACGACGTGGAACATATATTGTCGAGGCGTGACAAATAATTTATAAGTCTATAAATAGCTTGAAATGAACGTATACCATTTCACAAATCACTTTCGTTTAACTTGATCCTTTATTTCCTTTAATATTCATTTTGAGTTCTCTTTTTGTTATCACTTTATTTTATTTTATTTATTTCCTTCTTTATTTCCTTTAATATTCATTTTGAGTTCTCCTTTTGTTATCACTTTATTTTATTTTATTTATTTCCTTTTCTCTCGAATCCGGTTAATCCACAACTACCTCTCGACAATCATAAATTATCGAATAAAACATGCTTGAAGGGTCAGTTTCACGACCCCTTTTCATCGTTTTATAAAATATATAGAGAATACATGTTATTATTATTATTATTATTATTATTATTATTATTATTATATATATATATATATATATATATATATATATATATATATATATATATATATATTTCTTTGTGTTATAAATATTATTTTCGGATGATATATATTATATCACTATTTCACTCACTCTAAGTATTAGATATCATACTCTTTCGTTACTCTACCTGTATAAATATTGATAATTATTACAAGTCGTCATTATTCTGTCCATATAAATATTGCTAATTATTATACGTCGCCGTTACTCTTCTCATATAAATATTGAGAATTATTATACGTCGTCGTTACTATGTCCATATAAATATTGATAATTATTATACGTCTTCATTACTCTGTCCGTATAAATATTGATAATTATTATATGTTGCTGTTACTCTGCTAGCATAAATATTGATAATTAGTATACGTCTTTGTTACTTAGCCAGCATAAATATTTGTAATTTTTATACGTTGCCGATACTCTCATGGTATAAATAGTGATAATTATTATACGTCGCTGTTACTATCCCTATACAAATATTGATTATTATTATACGTCGTCGTTACTCCGCCCGTATACATAGTGATAACTAAACAAATCATCTCGCGTTGCGCAATAAATATTTATAAAGTTTTTTTTAACAGCGAACACACACATCCACATAATTATTTACTCATTCTCCTCATTCTATAAATTGCGATTTAAAATTTATAAATGAAAAACAATGTTAATAAATGTATATAAAACATATATTGATTTCTATATATAACGAATAACGAATAATATAAAAAATAAATATTTGATTATTTTATTGACCATTATAAGGTTTGTAATTCTATGTTAATTTTTGTATTTAAAGAATAAAAAATATATGAAAAACATAATTACTACAACTTATAATAACATAAAAACACTATAATATCTACTATAACATTTGTAATAAAAAAAACTTATTAAACATTGATAAATCATACAAAAAATATATAGAAAACACATATTTTATATATATATATATATATATATATATATATATATATATATATATATATATATATATATATATATATATATATATATATATATATGAGGTAATGAAAACAAAAAAGACAAAAATACCTCAAATTACAATCACTGTCAAATGTTATTCTTTAAAAAATTTATTTACTCTTCTGACTTGAAAAAAAGAGACAATTACATCACGGTTTGCCTTCCATCATAAACTGTTAAGGAGATATCTTTATTTTAACATATAAAACAAAAAATGACAAAAAAATACCCGTAATTACATTAACTCTCAAAGAAATTTTGTTTAATATTTCACTTACTCTTCTGAATTGATTAAAAAAATAGATAATTACACCCCTACTTGACTTCCATCTTAAACAGTTCAGTTGATATATTTATTTTAACATAAAAAAAAGACCAAAGTAACCCTGATTACACTCACTTTGAAAAAATTTTGTTTAGCATTTTTACTTACTCTTTTAACATGAATAAAAAATAGAAAATTACACCCCTGCTTGCCTTCCATCTTAAACAATTAAGTAGATCTCTTTGTTTTAACATAAAAAACAAAAAATGACATAAATACCCCTGATTACATTAACCATTAAAGAATTTTTGTTTTACATTTTGGCTTACTCTTCTGAATTGAATAAGAAATAGACAATTACACCCCTGTTGCTCTTTAGTCTTAAACAATTAAGTTGACATTCTTTAAGCTTTCTAATGACATTTAATTAACATAAAAATTGAAGAGGTAAATGGTTATATTCAAAGTACAATGCGATAATAAAATATTGATAATTTGTGAATTAAAACCAAAGTACATTGATATTATATTACCATAATAAAAAAAAAAAGTTTCAAAATAACTACAATATTGAATGTTGTGTTACATCCACATTTTCATACCATATATATATATATAATATATATATATATATATATATATATATATATATATATATATATATATATATATATATATATATATATATATATATATATATATATATATCATATTAACATCCATTAAGAGAACTTTACAAAAACATATTAAACTTGCCTACACTACAACGTCTGCCATGCAATCACATTCTCTTTAGCTATGTCCATCAAATCTTCAATCTTTTCTCTTGGAATTGTCATGTTCATCATTTGCTTGATGTATGCAATTCCATCATCAACCGTTGCCCTTGGGTCTTCTATCACCAATAGATGAATAAGCTTTTCTATCCTCGTTGATGGTGCGTTCATCAAGTAATGGGGGGAATTCATTGGCACATGTTTAGTGTTGTGCTCTACATACAAGTGTTCAATTTCACGAAATTTGTGTGCCCTCGCCCTCTTTTTAAAATTATCCAACACATTCTCATCTATAATGGGGGTTAGGGTCAACCCATGTTGCTCTTCAGTTCTCATATAATACTAGTAACCAAATGTCTCATAAGCCAGACTTTTAGAAAATCTTCCTAGCATCTCCATGTCTGGGAATTCGATGTTGACCAAAGTAATGTAATCTACTGATGTTTTCACACAGGTAAAATTTCCTCCATGAACCACTCCAATCGTTTTTTTGTAATCATTTCCTTTCACATATTGCACGATTGGAGTTGTGGTCGGTGGTTCCTTTGTAATGCTCCACATTTGAAACCTTTTCTTCGCCCATGGATCGATGCCTAACTGTCCTGCAATTGATTGATCATGAAAATTTTCCTTCTTAAACGATTGGTGGTTGGTGATGAAGGTTCGTGTCTACCAAGTGTGAGAGTGAACATTCTCATATAGTCGGAGGGTTTATAGGCATAATGAATCACACTGGAAGAGACATCGACGCAGAGTCTCATCATTCAGTTTCGACTAATTGTAGAGGAGGTGTAGTTTGAACGGCGATGATGATGATGATTATATGTGTGTGTCTATATATATATATATATATATATATATATATATATATATATATATATATATATATATATATATATATATATATATATATGTGTGTATGTATGTATAATAATTTTAATATAATATTTAGTAATTATCATACTTAATATTGTTTATGTTTTTATGTAACCACATAAATTAAAAATTAATTTTTAATTTGTGCATTATTACATATCTACGCATAGTGTTTATTGAAAAATAGAATTACAAATTTATTAATAAACTTTAGATTAAATTTGTATGTAAAGTATTAAAATTATGATCAAATATGGTTAGGGTTGGATGTGTGAGTTAGGTGTGTGGGATACAGCTGGGTAGGTCGGTGGCACAGATGAGTTAGGGTTTGGATGTATGAGTTAGGTGTATGAGCCGGTTACAGCTGGGTAGGTGATGTGTACAAATTATACCTATCTAGTTTTAAATTTATAACGTAACAAACTTATACTAACTATGCACCTATAGGCAGTGTACCTAGTCCTATTATAATATAGTTTTGGGTAAGTCAGGTGTCGATCACAGGGAACTCTATTTAATTAATAAAATAATTACTAAAAGCTAAATTAAGAAAAACAACTAAAAGTGGGGGTTTTATCTGATTTTACAAGTTCACAAAAACTTAAGTACTCAAATAAAAACGATTGTAAATCAATATACTAAAACACTTTTGTTTAGTTTCGAATCCACCTTTTCCTATGGTTAGTTCTTATTTATGGATTAATGAAGTTGGCTACCAAGCTATTGTAATTAGCAATTCAAGTCCAAATTTACTAATATTTTCACCAATTCATGAAATACCTTGTATAGACATACATAGGTTAACAAAATATTAGTTATTCATTATAGAGGGGTTGTGTAAGATTTATCTAAGCAAACACAACTATTGTCACAGTTATGTTCTCCAACACTACTAAATTTGTTGATTTTATTACTTATCTAAGATTTGGCCAAACCTAGCTCTAGCAAGTTAATGATCACTTTATCCTTGCTCCAATCTCTTTATCCTTTGATCTCTAGTTGAGTTCTGCCCACAAAGGGGTCTTAGAAGGGTATTTTTTTCGTTAATAGTCACAGCCTTAAGCCCTCTTCCTTTTGGAATCAACCTAATGTCCGATATATATATATATATATATATATATATATATATATATATATATATATATATATATATATATATATATATATATATATATATATATATATATATATATATAGTTACCAAAAATCTCAACACCACGTCGTGGTAATGGCACCACGTCGTGGTCCTTAAGCTTATCCCATATTCTCCAAGCCAGCAGCAAGAATCGCAAAGAATCCATTCACCATGTCATGGTGGTTGGAAATCCGACTTTTCTCAAAACACAAAAGTCATCCAAAATTGTGTCTAGTTTTCATATCATTTTGAATCACCTTAATCGGACTTACGAGTAGAGAGATATGGTCAAAATACTAACGAGGGGTCAAGCTATCCAGCAACATCATTTTTGTATCTTCTTCTTGATTAAGCTCACATTTTCCTACTTCCAGCTTCCATATTGCTTACGAGCATGTCTTTTACTCTACATAACAGATATTAAACATAATAAGTACCTTTTGTTCTATAACAAGAATAATTATAGTTAAAAGTATGAAGATATGATGTAAAATATATATGTAGAGATATACCCATATCAAAATACCCCACACTTATCTTTTGCTTGCACTCAAGCAAAACTAATTAATTTTAATCCAAACCTCCATCACCACCATCACATAGAACAATCCATTTTAAACTCAAACATTTTACCAAGACCTGAATGCACATATTTGTGTCTAAGTCTCCTAATAACTTCCCAATCCTAAATACTCACAATACTTATGAACCCTCACCCCTTAGCTTATACGACACTCATTTTTGCAATCCTCCGAATCAATCCTCAAAAAATTTTCTTAACCTCAAGGTATTTTTTATTAAGCTACGCAAGCATACATAATCTAGAAATTAGAACGTTTGATTACACAATGAAGCGCCACTCTTGAACACTTAGACTACTGAAGGTACGGGATCAGACTCGAAAAACAGACTTGAAAAGCACCACCTCGTGGCGGAATTCACCACCTCGTGGTGGATCAACCATATTATTTTCTGGTATTCTGACTGCGACAACATGACGTGGTGGGATTACCATGGCATGTTGGTCTTGAAATTTCAATAATCGGTGCTAGATTAATCTGATTTCTGGAATATATATACATATATGGCACCAACGAATGTACGAAGCTGTTAGGCATGATTCCTCACTTATTGACGCAAACAAACACCCGAAAAATTGCTCAAATCTCGCTTCTCTCGTCGTTTTCTAATCTTTATCTATAAAGAACCTTCTTTTTTCAATAATAGCCTCACTCAAACTCTAAATATAATACCTGGAAAGCTTCTTCTTGTGAATGCAAGCGTGTCGGATCGAATGAAATTAAAGAACTATTCTTGAAAAAAAATATGTTGAACCACTACCATGACGTGTTGATGATGTCTACGTCGTGTTGTTTTCTTTTTAGTAAGTATGCTTCAAAATGCTTTTCTTTTCAGTATGTGGGAACCCCACACTTATTCAAAAACTTGTTCTTCAATTATGATCTTCAAAAATCACACGAATTCTTCAAATTAAGCTCCTTTATTGCTTCATTTCCGTTCAACACTACAAAATAAGATCAAGAATCTAAAAACATCGGGTTGCTTCCCGAGTAGCGCTTCTTTTTGAAGAGTTGTGAGCCGGACTCCTTCCCACTTTATGTTGTGTCAGGTGGAAGTGTAACCTCCCCGTTCTCCATCATTTTGAGACTTGTTCGTTTGTAGGCCACCCATCTATAGAATTCCTTTCTTGAGCTTTCTTGCATATTTGGGTTGACATTTTCTTTGTGCTTTCGCTTGAGTTCTTTCCTCACTCCCGTGTCTTTAGATATTGTCTTGTCTCTTTCCAGGTTTTTCTTATCAAAATTGGACTCATCGCTGTCTTCTTCTTATTATTCAATCGGCTCTGTTACTAGATTTGGTGGTATTGAAAAAAGCAAACACCTCGAAAATCAAAGTCATTGAAATTTGAGGTTTCAAATAATTCACTTCTTTTTCCAATTGCTCTTACGGTAAAGGCTCCTCCTATTCCTCCCACTCTTCTTCCTTTATGCGTTCAAATTTATAATGCCTAAGGAACTTCGTGTTTTCTTGTTTCACCAAATTTGCATTGGCACGAGATGGGAAAGGGAGAGGTGATCGATACGACTGAACAACTAAGGAATCATAATTTTCTTTTATTGCCCATGACGTGGTACTATTGCCTCCATGTCGTGGCGATTGGAAAGCTTCATGATACTCTTCTTCTTCTTTAATTTTTACTTCGAGTGACTGATTAGATTCCTCTTCAAGGTCCTTCATATACACTAATTCATCATCGTCTTTGTATCAACGGTCATGACTTGAGCCATAGGGGATTGACTCGACTTTACTTGAAGGTAGATCCGGTAGCTTTGCTTGTACAAGTTTGTTAATTTCCCAACTTGTGTTGTCACACCCCCAAACCAAGGATGGCGGAAACGTCCGGGGGTGGAGGACTTCATGTAGAGTATCACAAAAACGAGTATAATAGTGCTCAAAGTAAATACAACCATCACAAATATAATTGAAAAAGTTACATCAAAGTATACGTTTACATGATTCACATCAATTACATTATGATACAAAATGAACTATTTGACGAATTATCGTCCCATCCTCAAAATGTTGTTGATTTCCTTTTTCACTGAATCCTGAGAATACAAATAGTTTTGAAAAAGTGTCAACACAAAGGTTGGTGAGTTCATAAGAGATTTCATTAGAGAAGTAAACCGTTTTCCTTGTAAAAGCGTTAGAATATGTATCCAGAAAATCCGATATTTTCTTTAAAATCTGTGTAATGTGGTCTTATAACCGAAGACCAAAAAGTATAAGTAACCTCTCTTACTGATAGAAAATGATATGTGTTTAAATCGACATAAACGCGCTTGAATTAAATGAAATTCCCGTAAATTCTTATGTTTGTTAATACTTTATGTATATGTAGTCCTAAATCCCAGGACCGAGAAATAACAAGTATTGGCCATAATTAAAGATATAAATGCGGTTTCAAATGATGTGTAGTCATAAATACCAAAACCGAAAGTGTACAGTAATATCTGTACTTATTGACATAAAAAGTGATTTTAAATCGACATAAAACCAATTTAGGTTTTATAAAAATCCCGTAAACTTTATGTATTGTTATCACCCTATGTGAGTCGCTATAATCATACTATGACTGAATGAACCTGCCACGACGTTTCTCAGGCGTTGTGAAACTGAAATGACATTTGTCACCCGTAGACCTGCACGTCCCACTGTAGCTAGCAGCAAGGTGTGGGGTGTCAAACCCAATATAGATCTATACACAACTATCACGTTCTCCCTCCAGGAGACTCTGATTATAACTACCAGGAATTAGATCCCGCACTCGGATGTACAGAAAGAGATTGTCTCACAATTTAGGTTAACAAGTTTACGTGTGGTGTGCGTGAGTGTAAAACCTTTTTATATGAATGTACCCTTTTTGTACGAGTCTGTTATGTGATGAATCATAAACTATACCTATTATAGTTTATCCAAAACATGTGTAATATATAAGAACTCTTTTATGAAAATGCATTAGTGTTATGAATCCATTAAACTATGCTTATTATAGCTTAATATACGTGTACTAAATGAATGAATAATCTTATCATGAATGACTAAGTTTTAGTTTATGATGATAAACTAACAAGGAAACACATTCAATAAATAGAACTTATGGTTATACGCTTTGCTCAACATAATACAAAGTGTTATGAAATTTATATGCTGTTAACTAAATTTAACCTTTCTGCGTTGTTTTAGAAAAGTCATAGAAAAATCATACGAAGTCGAAAACTAAATCCGTAAATTCTGAGAGTTCCCAAAATGTGTCTAGTTTACTCATAAGTTTTATCATGATTTTTAATAACCTCCAACTTGGGTGGAAAAGTCCATAATCACAGAATGGTCCGGATTGGTGTTTGAAATGATAGGCAGTTTTGTAAAAATCACCATAAATTGTAGAAAAATCGTATGGAGATGTGAAAGTATTCATTTTAAAGATAAGAACTTGAACTACTTTCACCTTGTACAGTCTTGAAAACAAAAATGTTTAAGTTGCCCAAAACAGTCTGTGAATGGAGTTGAACTTTTCTGATGAAAGTTGTTAGAAAAGTTTAGTTATGTTCTTGGTGTTTTAACTTGTATTCCCCCCCTAAAAACTTGAGAAAACTTGAAAATGTAGGGGTATGAAATCACCTTGAGGGATTGCAGAAGATGGATGATGGAGAAGAGAAGCGTTCAACTCAAGAACACTTGGGAGGTGCTTGAAGATTTGAGGAGCTAACAACAAATATGACGATATTTGTGTAAGAAATCAAGGATTTTAGTAGAATGATGTGTAAAAATCACAAGGAGGATGTTAACACTTACCAAAAGTAGAAGAAAAGTTTGGAGTATAGCCTTGAATCTCGAATTTTTAGAGAGAGGAAGTGAGAGAGAGAAGATATGTTTGATCTTTGGTGGAAGAATGAGAAAATGAGAGAAGTATGAGGAGAGATGAGACTTTTCTAGCCTTTGACCAATTGTGAGGTTGGAAAAAGGTGAGAAAAGTACAATGAAGTGACTAGGTAAGGGCTGATGGTGAATAGGGACATGGAGTTGGTATAGGAGTGTTTGCTTGTGTCATAAGGTAAAACAAAGTGAACACTCCACCTCAATTATTCACCCACTAGATTTTATTATTTAAATAAGGATTTTTCATGAAAATGTGAGTAAATTATGAATATTTAGGGTTTATTATGTTAAAATACGAGTTTGAGTGAAAATCCCGCGTTAAAATCTCGAAAAACGGGCTCAAAATGTGAAAAATATTGAAAATGGGCCAAAAATGTCAAAATTCCGAAGTTCTGGCCGGAGGTTCGGTCCTCTGATGCTTGGAACCGAGAGGAGAATAGAAAGACCGAGATAGGGAAAAGAACCGAGAGGAGAAGGCGAGACTCGGTTCAGGTGGTTTCGGCTCCAGGGTTTCAGTTCTTTCTTGGTTTCAGCTTCTAGTCTCGGTCTCGGCTGCTTAGGGCTTCGACTCCTTAGGGTTTCGGCTCCTTGAGAGGTTTCGGTTCCTTGAGAGGGGTTTCGGCTCCTCAAGTCCGTTTTTCTCGTTTTTAGCCCGTTTTAAGCCGTTTTTGACCCGGTTAAGGGTCGGGATGGCCCGAAAGCCTA